CCCTCCCTATAGGGGCTCCTCCCACTCCAGCTGGCTCTGCCCTCCCTATAGGGGCTCCTCCCACTCCAGCTGGCTCCTCCCTCCCTATAGGGGCTCCTCCCACTCCAGCTGGCTCCGCCCTCCCTATAGGGGCTCCTCCCACTCCAGCTGGCTCTGCCCTCCCTATAGGGGCTCCTCCCACTCCAGCTGGCTCCACCCTCCCTATAGGGGCTCCTCCCACTCCAGCTGGCTTCTCCCTCCCTATAGGGGCTCCAAACTAGCCTGCCCATTCCAACCAAATTCTACCATCTCAGGACTAAACTCCTCACAGACTCTCAAGGGAAAAGTTAAAAAGGCTGCTACGTAGCTCATGGAAAAAAAAAAAAAGAAATAAAACTGAAATGCACTGGACATTTTCCCTCCTTGCTTGTTTTTACATGTTTTTTTGCAAAGGAATTTGTTTACTTTCATATCTTGCAAAATGTATGCACTCATTGCCAAAGCCTTTATATGAAGTTTGTCTGTAATTATATTTGTATATTTGTATCTGTGCGTGTATGTAAATACATATGACCATATTGCATATTCAAAATGCCATTTATTTACAGAATACGGAAAGTTATATGTGCAGTCAGTGAGTGGACAGTAATCTACACTGTGATTATTATGACTTATGTCACATTGCGTATTTAATAAATGTTTGTATTAAAGACTGTGGTGATACAGTATTTGCCCTGTTTCTACATGGGCGTATGTCATGTCAAAGTCCCCCGCTGAGATGATGGATTGAAATTCTGGAATATGCTGATGCAGCAGAACATCTCGCTGACGTGACACAATTGCTCTGCAAGTCACTGGAAATCCAGATTATTCGTCTGGCCTCCCACGTTACGCAGAGTTGTGAAAGCACACTCCTCACATCGTGTTTCACTGCTCTGTATGCAACAAGAAATTCGTCTTAGCGAGTTAATGCTCAATAATTAATCATATCTACATTAGGATAATGCAGTGTAGGCCTACTCACGCTAAACCAGGAAACTTAACTTACCCATGGACAATCGAAAATAAATCCAACAAAATAGCATCACCTATGTTCCTAACCATTATCTCGTATTTATTAATCATTAAATTTTCCAAATATATCAATTTCCTAAGCTGCACATTCATGTATACATGCCCCTGTAATTTAAATCGAGTTCTAGGTAAAAAATATATATATATTTTTCCTTTTTTAAAGTGCTGTATTTGTTAAATGTATAAATGAAAAACAAAGGTCCATATGCGAGCTGGTACATTGAAATACGTCCAGAAAATCTCTGGTACATTTGCATGATTTTTAAAAATAATGTAATGCTTTTACGTAATAAAATAGCAGCAAAACCAAACAGGAGTGATGCTTTATTAACCCCCGTGGGGAAATTCTCTTTTCCCTTTACCCCATCTTGCTCTCCATGACACACATAAAAGTTAATAAACCGTGAAAATATCACGACAACAATGCAAATTCATAATGGTCACTGATGGCTATCCTTTCGTTACGGATCTAACACGATTTTAGTCCCTTTACATAAAGCCAACTTCAGCGGCTGCGTTTTATTTATCCTGAAGGCTTTGTCCACACCCCCCTCCCAGTAGAACCCTTTGACAAATCAGAGTGCAGGTAGGAGGGGCGCTGGGTGGGTGCGACCAATCGGGTTTCGCATTGCATACCCACCTCTCAGTCTTTATGACGTCATAAGCGGACACCGAAAGCGGCCGCTTCTGCTGCCGATCATCGCCGGTTTTGCTGATATTTGGTGAAGCAGAGCGCTGATATGCAGCACAATCACATTTAGGCGGTGTAAATAAATAACGTATCCATGGAAAGCGCTTCTGCTGTCTCACAGTGAGAAGTGAGCGGCTCAGAAGGAGCTTCTACAATTAGACAGTCTAATTTAGAGCCCTTAATGCTTAATTGGCACCTCGAACTTATATTCTCCCCTTATTTATGCACCTCACACTTTATTAGACCTGTGTTGAACATCTCTGGTCTTCTAGTTTTTGTACAGTATAACTGTCCTTATTTATGACTATTTATGATACTGTTAGGCCTACTTTTAAATGACTTTTGCTTTCATCGTTTATTATGGCGGTGTTGACCACCTTGCATTTCACTACCGGTTATGGTCTGACTATACCTCGCATGTGACAAATGAAAGCCTGGACCAATTGTAAAACAATTACAGACATTCACGTGACCGTTTTGTAGTCCGATTCACAAGTCGGCTTAGCAACAAATGCGGACTGGGTTTTACCAGAATGACTATTAAATTATTTTTCGATGGAACATACAGGTGTTTGTGTATTTAACGGAACAAATACCATTATTCCTATGCATTAAGCTACACAGCTACACATCGAAACCGGGGTGACAACCTTTCAGCAACCCACAGGTATTCAGTTTGAACTCGGTTGATTGAGGGGATGAGACGGACTTTGCTCATTTGTCACATGACTATGGTCACACGATTACAGTTAATTTAGATTGAGCCTTTATTGCTAACCCCCGAGTTCACCGTGCATTCGGGCCAAGAACCCTGCAAATATATACGCCAGAAAAGTGGTATTACTCACCGATTTTGTAGCACCATCCAGAAGAGTTTCTTCTATATCTCTACTATGCACCGACAATAAAAATCATTAAAATGCTCAGTGTCGCAGCTGAGCTCTCAATTAAGCTGCCTCGATTAATCTGGGATATGAAGAAATGACAGAGTCTAATTAAAGAGCTTTATAATGACCTGATGGTGGCTTTTCAATTGTTCATCGCCCTGAGCAATTAATTTATTTACATTCAAAAACTAATTCAGTACGATTTAGAAATGATCAACTAAATTAAACAATTTAAAGCAAAAAAACACCTTAACGCTTTTTGTATTTAATAACTCGATATCTTTTCAATTAATTGACATAATGATAATTTCAGGTTGTTATTTATTTTAATGGGGAAAAAGTAAAGCTTAATTTTCCAAAATTACGGAAATTCTTCAAGTAAACTGAAGAAACCCTGCTTTACCTGATACAGAAGCTTATTTTTCCCACCAAGACTATTTGCGCAGTGTAACGCCCGAGGTTACCACAAGATGGTAGTATAAACGCGCATTCAAAACAGGGGGAGCCGTGGGATGGTTTCCATGCCGGGCAAGAAGCCACAGAGAACCCCAGTTCAGCGTAAAGGTTCTCTTTCAGGAAGGGGGCGTGCCGCTTGGGAATTCTGGGCAGGAAAAGAGACTTAAATATACAGACATATTTTACAAAACTAGGGAGTAAGCAAGAAAAACATTCCTGTCCCGCCCCAATATACATCTGCGCCAAATATAAGAAAGCAAGGGTTGAAATATCCTTTCTCGAGAACAGTGGTTCTCAACCATTTTTGCACCGCGACCCAGTTTTTACCGGCTCAGTGGCGACCCTGTATTAAGTATAGGTTTAAGTTAACGCTATTATTAAGCGTGCAGTGCACTCTGCAGTTTACGCCAATCAACGCCTATCGCACGAATCTGATTGGATGTGCCAGTGAATTTTAAATTCAGCATCTGCGGTTTGGCTTCTTGGATTGGTTTTGTGTTCACTAGTTTTGCTCTAAGCATCTGAAGACCAAATACCCGTTTATATGGGCTAATTCTAGTACTCGGCTGGGAAATCTGATCGTGGATCAGCACCGCCTCGCGACCCAAATTCTTTTCTGTGTGGTGAATTTAAGGTTAACGTCCTTATAAAAGGCCGGTTTTAGTCTGTTACATAAGTTTTATTACAGTATAATCAGACCTCAGTTTAAAAAAGTGGGGATTAAAAAGCCTAGACATTAAGAACACACCATGCCTAAAAAACAAACGACCGTGAGCTGAGCATGAGAGCTCACATGGACGTAAGTAATCATTTACAGTGTTAGCAAGAGAATGCTACCCTCTGGCTCGTTAAATATTCTCAGGGAAACCGGTCACCAAGGTAATGGCGACAGATCGCTGTGGTCTGGTTGGGGTGATCACACATGAGTCACGGAAACCACTGGCCGTTAATATACTCTGTTTTATCATTCACCTTGATTTTTCGATATTGGGCAGCTGGCAGTGACCTACAGGCTAACACAGTCAAGTCACATGCTGCCAGGGCTCTGTCATCACATTACGCTTCGACAGATTGGAAATACAGGAATAGGCGGTAAATTAGGGGGACTAAGAGGCCAAAGCAAACCTGCACCAGCACTGCCTCTTAAATAACGTGCAGTCTAGCAACAACTGTATCCAGTGAACTGGTTGTACAGCTGAGTATAGTTATGGCTGCCCCAAACCAAAGCGGAGATTTTATAATAGTCATAGAAAGTGACAGAACAGTTCCTGTAATTCATCTCTGGGTACCAGAGCTGTGCCACACGACCAAAAACAGCTTCTCTTTTGTGTCAGTGAGCAGCACTGCGGACTCTCCCTGCGGTCATCATCAGCTGAATTCTCTCTCAATGGTCTCCATCAGGTCCTCCTCTGACCTGTTATACCGGATGGATGTAATCTCACAAGTTCCAGGGACCCTGTTCCAGAAACACACCAATTTAGAGCTGTTTAATAACCAATCAAAATCCATTTTAACTGACCGTAATACTTTAAACACATTGGTTTAATCTTTCATTAGATTGTTTATGACACCTGTAAACAGTTTCATGAGCAAAAAGAAGTATGTGAATAGAATTTTATTATTATTACTATAATAACCATAAATGTACAAATGTATTGAAATAATTCCAGGAAAAGAGTCAGCTCATTTTTGGCTCGTTGATAGAAAGGATACCGTAAACTTAACACTAAGATTTATCTGTCTCGAAATATAATAATACGTTTCTAACAGTGGACCGTGTTTTTTTCCTTCTGAAACAGCGCATCACACGCATTATCCATCCTAAAAAGACTGCTAAGTATTGAAATATGCATACTGTTAATTTGATATTGCCCGACTTGTCACAACATACTTTTGGGCAGGAAAGCTAAATAATTAAAGCCGTACTTACGAGGCTGTCTCCTTGGTGAGTGAGCGATCCTGGAAACTGTCCTGCAAAGACATTTTACTTTTAAAACAGCAGCATGATTAACAGGACTGTGGATAGGCCTATATTGTGTTTAAACATATTTGTTTAACCAGCTATTTGCATTTGAAATCACAAACTGCATTTTGAACAAATTATTAAAAAGTTGAACCTTCCATTCCCGTTTCCTCACACCCATAGGTCTCAAAAGATGCGCGATTTTTCTGTGCTGCTTGTGAGTTTATCTCAATTAAGGTGCTCTTACAAACACTACGAAAACATTTTTAAATTTTAATCGCAAAAGACAATTTACAAAGTGCTGGAGTTGCCATGGACGGCGTTAAGGATCGAGTGGGAGGGTTCAAAACTGCATAGTCAACAAATGGGAAGTGCAAGTTAATAAGAAGGGAATATCATTAGTGTTTTGTGTTATTTTTCCTACTGAAACCCTTAAGCGTTTTATAATTCCTTTAAATTTGTCGCGATTCCGGCATTTTTAGACGACAGGAATTTGAAGATCGGCGCCACTTTCAAAGAGTACAAACACCTTTACTCTCCAGTTACAATCACTGTAAGATTTTATGTAGGCCTATATTTTGCCTAATGTTACCTAAAAAAAAGAAGACGAAAGAAAAGAATAATGATTTAAAAAAATTACCTTTTCCCGTAATCCGCCAGGACAAGTAGGTCTATCTGGAAAACTAAGCGCAGGTTTGGTATTTTTACTATAATAATCTTTCTTGAAATCGACCCTGCGATCCACGTCACAAGGACGCGGAGTTTCTTTAGAAAGTTCTGAGTTATAAACGGATCTGAAGCCGCTTCCCTTGTACTGGCGTCCGGGATGACAGAAGCCGCCCTTCCGGGAGATCTCACCGGCAACGGCTCTTGTACCGTCGTACTCCGCCAGCGCGCCGTCCAATTCCGCGTCCATGACGTCATAGTCGTCAGCGGACAGTCCTTGGCTGTGGCAGGCCGGTGGGGCTCCGTCCCGGGACCTGCTCAGCTCAGTCACATTCTGCATTTTGGGCGGCTTTATGGAGCCGCCGGCCCCGCTGCGATCACGCTGCTCCCCGTCAGCACTCGACTCTTCCGGAGACGCAGGTGCCACCTTTTTCCCGCGGCTACCCACGCTTCCCATGCCGCTGCCCTCGTTAAAAAAAATTACGAGCAAACTATGTTGTCCGTTAATATTATTATCAATATTAAAAAGTCTTACATGTGTTCAAGTTCTCCCGTGTCCCACTATTTACAGCAACACGGGGGACGAGTCTGGCCGCGAAGCTGCGCTCCTCCATACGCCGCTTTGCATCGCGACGGGCGAATTACATGCAGAATAACTCTTCGCAAGTGCAGGTGTTAGAAATTCCTATTTCCTTAATTGTCTGCTATGCAGTAAGAAAATAACTTTGTTACGGTCGTGCCGGCAGTCGTAGGCAGCTGGAGATCCAGCCAAGGGGGAAAGCGCGTTGTTTGCATGCATACTTGCATGCTGCATGCATCTGCGCCGGACTCGTGGCGAGGGTGCTGGGAATTTCCTGCAGCATTCCGAAGCAAGTCTCCGGATTTCGGACCTCCTAAAGGATCGAGTCACTACAACAGTGTGCAGCTGGAAAAAGCCCGTTACATAACCACCGTGCAGCACCTCCCCATGTCAATCGCTCCAGCTCTAATATTACATTTGTAGTCTTTTGTTACCATAATTATAATGCTCCTGTTCGCACACAAAACCCTACCATTAGCCCCCCCGTTATCTGTTTGCAAATAGTGTTCATTACATTTATTCAATGCGACGTATGGAAAACTAACGCGCCTGGACAATGATTAGTAGCCTGGATTGTAAAATCCGGTGACATTTATTTCTAATAACCTGTGGAATCGCAGTAATGTTTCAGTACATAGCCGGTAAAATATGGCAAACAAGGGACCGGTATCAAAATGCATGACAGATAAACACTCACAGATATATTAATTTAAAAGAAGATTACGTCATGTTGCATGTAACATGAATTGAAAACTCAATATAGTCATGCAAAGAAAAAAAAAGTCCGGTAAACCTACTGGAACACGAAGATCTACAGCAATAATGGCACGATTTCGACAAAGATAGTGTAATCAATTGAGAAACCTTATTCTAGTAGCAAAGCTGTTTGTCCACGTGTTTCTAGCTTAATGGCCTTTGCTACGATGGCTGAGGGAGGGGGGATGAGGTCCAGGCACCAAATCAGCATGTATAACCCACCTGCCAGTGAGTGACTGCTCTGTATCCTTTAGGCCATACAATCGAGGAACATTCCATCCCTCGGGTAGGAGCTTCCAGGACATCCTTGACAAAGCCTTTGTTTGACCCGTTCTAGGGCACAAAAAGCCCTCTGGAACAAGCCTTACTGGGACACTAAATGCACCCCCCGTACTGTTTGTTTAATATCTTCTGGGGACGCGATGCACGAAGGCGTTCACACCATCCTCACGACACCAAACGTCCTGAAGCACCCATCCAGGCTGCACATGGCACTCAATCCACCTAACGCAGGCAGGTACCCAACCAGTACTGCCAGTGTTTGACTGTCCAGGGCTTACAAAGCCTCCTCTGTTCATCTGTCCCAGGGGTGTAGGTTTCATATTAACACTGGGGGGGATGGGTAAATCTGTGGAGGACTACACATGACATCGATGTAAATAAATAAGTACACAAATTAATAATGAAATATATAAATTTAAAAAATGGCATAATTAGCTTTGTTTATTCTACATTTCTATCTCTGTATGTTAATAAGGTGGGCGGGTCTAACCTCACTCAGTGCGGGATTGGTGGGATCATTTCGCTTGTACTACGCCTACTTTACCTACCGGGCCAGAGGTGTGACGTCACCTCGCGTTATAGGGCGATTTTGTGGTTGCCCTGTATACAGTTAGTATTTTTTATTCGAAAACTATTGCTGTTTCTGTTACAATATATAATGTGACATTAATTTTCACTAATATTAATAAAATGCGGTGCTGTCACCAATTATGCACGCTGAATTTGCAGGGATTATTAAAATCATGCACAATTGGGGAGATTCCACTACCAATGTCAGGCCATGAATGGTGGAAACATGACCTCACCTCAGGGCCCACGATGAAGCCCCTGTTATTTGGTACTGATGTTAGATTTAATTTACCGAAAGAGACAGCGGAAAGGTTTATTTTTCATGCAGCGAAACTTCATAGTGGTTTTCTGCTGACCAAGTCTTCTCACACGATGTTTTGTATTTTTGGAGGGAAAAACTAACTTGTATTTACTACACTTATACTCTCACCCTAGATTGGTTTCATATCGTCCAGATGCTTTTTTGGTTAAATGTTCCAAGCTACCAACGATAGCGCAAATGTTCATGAGATTTTTTTTTTTGTCATCTTCTGTTTCAAATGTCAGACCCAAATATTGAAAATTTCTAAGCAACACTAAATTCGTACTCCTCGCGCTTTTGAACAAGAACCTTTCTCAGTGATACTGTTGCGTATCCCAGGAGGACTGTACACATCTGGATATGAAATCGAGCTTTCAGAGGCAGCAGCTGAGGGCTACTTCCAAAATCCAGAGACTTAGCAAAAACACTGATGGCTTCAGATTGTTTTCTAATGCTTAAAATAAATCTCTGGGCGGAAGGCATGGGCAGCCAGGGCTGCATCGCAGTAACGTTTTTGTGATTTTCCTCGCATGGGCTTTTACGATCTTACCATAGCTTTGGAAGCTGTATCGATACGGCAGATCAATTCGGATATGAGTGTAAGACATTTTCTAACAGCTCCCTTGTCTCTTAGTAGATCTTCCAGGCAGGGAGAGGGGTGTCTATTCCCACGACCGGAAAACAGATACACACTGAAATCCTTCCCGAAGGCGTGTGAAATAGGAAACATTTGGGTGAGTCTCCCTCAACGTACAACAGAACTTCCAGTGGATTCTTTCAACCAGAAAGCTGAGCCACATGCGATCCAGACCTACTTAAGATCCTGCATCGCCTTTTCAAACAAACATGTGAGTTTTTGTACATTCTGAGCAATTTTTTTATGTTCTAAATTTAAACCACCATTATGTTGGGGGGGGGGGGGGTAGTGGATATAAGAAACCTGATGGCAAATGAAAAATCACGGTTCTGCCTTCCTTCAGTTCTTTTGAAAACGACGCTATTTAAATATTCAGAAAATATTCCACTGTTTAAGTGTGCGTGAGTGCGTGTTGGTCTGGAGATACAGACAGAATCATTAAGTCATTCAATTACTCTCACGCAATCAACTGGATCTTGAACAAAGGCGACGTTTCTGTTTGCAGTTCTAAAATTCTCCATCCAGCCAGTGGGAATCATGTATGACCACATCCTGCTTGTGATGAACAGTCTGTGGTTAGATCTTGACCTGTGACTGTGGCCAAAATGCACTGCAACCCCAATCTTCTACTGGTTTCCCAGAAAGCAGCTGAACTCAGCCCTGATTTAAACATGGCCTCTGAGCTGTCCGTGTGATTGGTGGGGGCCTTTCTCCCTCTGTAAACCAATCAGAGCTGTCCCAGTTCAAAAGAGCAGCAGGGAATTCGACCTCCCTTGTAAAAATACCAGTGCGGTGCGTTCATCCCTTTTCGGCAAAACGTTTCTCTTCACTCCCTGGTCTCCAAGTAAGGCGAGACACAGCTGCTCAGCAGCCCTCGTCTTTTTTTTTTCCCCACAGATCAACACTTACTTCCTGTTAGGTTGGAAGTAGCGTGATAACTCTGCTAAAGGCCCGGCCTGTTACAGGCGGCCGGGGTCCTTACTCTCCATATATGGCGAAAAGGAGGCTTCTCATGTACAGCCGTGAAAAAAATTGAGACCATAGCACAATTTTTTATTTCTGTAATTTCTCAATTTGTGGGTGTGTGTCTGTGAATAATATGTATATCTTTGCAAGCTGCAGCCTAGTTCTTCTCTGTAATGAAGGGCTTCTTTCTTCCTTTATGGGACTTCGGTCCTGCTTCTAGGAGCCTGATATGAACTGTCCCAGCAGTGCACTTCACACCTGCACTTAATGTTTCCCATTCCTTTGGAAGGTCACTTGATGACGCCTTACGATTCATGAGAAACTTTCGGGTAACTTGACGGTCATCTCTGGCATTAGGAAGTCGCTTCTGCCCTCTACCTGGCTGGTTTCGGCCCATTCTCAGTGTCTCCTGCTTCACCTTATTCTTGTGTCCTGCTGTTTTATACGTTTTGAGCCTGGGAGCAGCCTGCCTCGCAGTGTAGCCTTCTGCCAGCAGAGTTAAACCAGGATTTTAATATGTAGATTTGTTTAAAAAAAGACAGTGGTCTCAATTTTTCCAGAGTTGTTTAAAGATCTGTTCCATCTTGGGCAAACAACTAAAAATGTGGCTTTTTTGACTCTTATTTAAACAACAGATTTCCTCTATCGATTAGTCAGCATGAGGTCAGGATGTGGGTTTTGTCTGAAGCTGCCGACTGCCACCCTCAGGGCCGGCTGGTGAACGGGCTCGGTACTGGACGGTCCATCCTCACCGGCTGCTAAATCAGCTTAAGCAGCTCGCAGACAAAAACCCACAGGCAGAGCACTGCAGAGCACCTGGACCCAACAGGGACTGATGCTGGATTATTATAATTACGGCACATTTCACTGGCAAGAGGAGGACGAGACCAACCAGTTATATCAAGTACTGTTAAATAGCAGCCTGTCTACCTTCCTCACATGCACCAGTAGGGGGCTGCAAGATTGTGGAGAGAATAAGGGACATGCATGGAGATTTGTGCTCATAAGCTAATGAGCTTCTCTTCCTGACTTCAGCTGTATTCTGGGTTCCTGCTATATGTCTGTCGTGACAGCATGCAGATACGCCCCCCCCCTCCCTCTAGCCCGTGGATAACGGCAGCCATTCCATACAGCGCAAACCTGTGGGCAGATCAAGCAATGAGCAAATCCCAGAACTCACGCAGTCGTCCCTGCCAGAGAGTTGCCATAGTTACCTCGCTCACAGCCCTGAGGACCGCAGCTGGGGTGAAAGTCAGACGTCTACTTGCAGATAAAATTGCGCACCCCCCCCCCCTATTCACCCAAGCTCCTTCACTACTGAGTTGGAGGTCAGGGGGTTAAACGCAATCGGACTGCTGGTTGTGTTCAGAGCTTTCACACGTGTCACAGATGGCAGAAAGGGGCAGGGCCCCCGCAGCCGTAGAGACAGTCGCTAGGCTTTTTCTGTCTGTGGAACGATCTATTCACTGGAGCGGGAGGGGAGGACAGTGAACCAACAGGTATTAACCTCTTTTATCAATGTTATGCGAATTCACATAATGATTTGACTGCTCCACTATTATTCCATAACCAACAGAAGCACTTTGCTGAACTGCAATATACGGACACAGTACTATTAACTGAGCTACCCAGTTGTTCATGCGGATAAGCACAGAAAGGTCAAAGGTCAACACACCACACCTACAGTTAACTTGGCCCCTCCCCAGTGCCCTGCCCCGCACCCGACACTGGGAGCCCTTTCATTAGATTTTTACAACTCGCACTCATAAAAACCTGAGCCCCCTGTTTTACATATTTGCATCCAGTTGACTACAATCATTCTGACAGATGAAATTCTGAGCTCCGAGTCCCTGAAGTTCATCTTACCAATCAAAACATTATTAAATTGCCTATAGGAAACACAGTACTTTTTACAAGCAAGGGTCTTACACAAACATTAAATGGATTTTAATTTTTAAAACCTTTTCTTGATTTTTGACATTATGAATTTGTTATCCATGCCTTATCGCTTACCACACCAACCACGTACAAGTCCCCGATTTCACTATTTTTCAAGTAGAGGTGTCCAGGTAAGGTAAGAGAATGTATGAACGGAAAATATCTGTGATCTTTGTGACAAAAATGCTAAGATACAACTTTAGCAGATACATATTGTTTTTCCCAGTTAATCTCCCACAATGCTGACTTTGCATGGTTTGGCAATAAAGCTCAGAGGCAAAACAAGAACTGGTGACCAGTCTACAGCTGGCAGTGAGTAACAGTCTGGAGGCAATTAAACTGGGCTTACTGGGAAGACCACTGGCCCCAGGAGCTCGTTTTGTCCGTTACATTAAAAATACGCTCTGGAAAACTTCAAGAATCGATACCCCCCATGAAGGGAAAATTTGGGTTTCATTGTCCGACACACACTGCAAATCCAACCTTTGTCTCACCACAGAAACAATGCCAAGAACTTTTCCAAAGATGACAAGAAACCTCTGTAATGATGTCAAACTTGTGTTTACAGTGATATTTCTGGGAAAAACCCCCACTGTGTACACTGGCATCCACACCAGCAGAACCATTAAATTGGCGATGAAAGCCAGTTCAGTCAAACAGGTATGCAGATGGAGCAGTTGAGGAGCCTACGCTGATTACGCCACACGACAAACCACCTCAGGGATGAGAACCCGAGTGCTGTCACGCGGTGGGTGATACCTCCACAAGTCCGAATGGAACTGATTTTCCATTAGCTTTAGTGTCAATCCTGCCACCAACCCCCGAATTTTCCCTGTAAGTTGGAGGCCCTGCTTGCAGGGCTGGATGCAGATTAACATCATAATCAGGACAAAGCAACTGCAGGTTAAGGGTCTTGCCCAAGGGCCCAACAGAGCAGAATCACTCCTAGCATTCACGGGATTCGAACCAGCAACCTTCCGATTGCTGGCACTGATCCCTAGCCTTACAGTCACCACTCCACCCACAAATGCAGATATTATACTAAAAAGTACCCCGAATAATATTATAATTGTATAAAATCACAATGTCGTTTTATAACCTTCATCTAAAATCTGATCATATATCATTGAATGATATATGATCAGGTTTTAGATGAAGGTTATAAAACACCAGTTAGTGGGCTTCCCCACATGGGACTGGGAAGCAGATTTTCTATACTAGATTTCACTTTGTAATTTAGTACCTTTGGCTCTCTGCTTCTTGATCTCCTGAAGGTCGACCTACCCCCAGAGGACTCCGGTCCTGGGATTCCATGTGATGCGTCACATGACCTGTGACATGAGTGTCAGCAGGAATGGCATCAGAGGATGCCAGCGGACTGCTTCATGCCAAACTTCACTGCTCACCAGTCTGTCTAATCCTACTTAATGCCGTCGCTATCACTTGTCTGTCACCCTCATGTCTAAGCGACCCGTGTCACCTCTTCAGCTTGGCCTGCATCTCCTCCAGACTGCCATCTGTTCCGCTGAAGGAGGCAAGCAGAAAACGAGGGGCTTTCCATAGGCTAAGGCGACAGACAGGAGGATCTCACGTCCAGTTGCTGTGGGACAGTGAAGTCTGACTTCAAGGTGGACCATTCCACCTGTGCTGGAGCTAATCAAGGTCTCCTCCATGCTCCTATCCGCAGCCCACAAAGACTGTGGTCCCAAACAGGTGGACGGAGATGATCAGGTTCACCCAGGCATGTCCACAATGGGACAGAACCATAGCAGTTCTAAGGGATGGCCTTCAAGATTCTACACAACACTCACATATGAGGGTGTCTTACCAATAACCCAGATATGGACACAGATTTAAGGTGCAGCTCATGAATTATAGTTGTAAGCCAATTCCTTCAGCACTAAAACTGCATGAAGGCCACGCTTTTTGGGATACGTCAGTTTCATTAAGCAGAGTTGGTCACCATCTACAGGTGAAGAAAAGCAACTGCAAGCATAACAAACAGCAAAAACACAAAAGGCACAAGGGCATGACGACCGGCGTCCTTCGTGACCAGATGAATTAATATGAAGTGGTAAGTTAAGCAAAAAAAAGTTTATTTACATAAAATTCAACAAATAATCAGTATGCAAACTGGGGCTTTTGGTAAAATAAAAACAGCCCTTGGTGTTTGTAAAAACATGCTTCTACACGCAAAATTTGGTCAGCCACGGGGAAACCTGACAAAGAGCAGGAAGTTCACTGACCTCAATCTGCTGTCGCCCATCTCTCCCTTAAAATCGCAAACATCTCCATGCAGTTTTAAGAATACCAGAGATCACTCCTGAAGGTAACCCTGCTTCTACATTACACAAAGACAGACTGTTACCTTTCATTAACCTCAATATAAAAAACATAACCGATTCAGTATTGTGACGAAATGTGTGTGGGGTGTTTTGTGATAACATTCAATAAATAAATGTCATTTAAATGATCTAAATAAAAATTTAAATTGTCATTTAAACATTTATAAAATGTCATTTAAATGATCATTTACAGTATAATTTAAAGTAGGAGAACACCCTCCATAGAAATGCAACTGGTTTAAAATAATGCATTAGTTTGGTCTGTGGCAGCATTCAACACCACTCAAACCATGCATTTGTGCTGGGCCCCCTGCTGGCCAGAGACAGTCATTACACTGGGGGGGTGACATTTTGAGTGGGGTTCCAGAAACAAACCCACCCGAGTGCAGCATACACATCAAAATACGCGGCACGACCTGCCACCGACCGCTGACGGCTGCAGCGGAACATTTCCGGTGCTCCAAGGCAAAACCCAAGAGCATCATCTCCCACGCACGGCCCCGACTCCGTAACCAGCCCCACCGCCGCCTTGACGGCCAGGTTCAACCCCGGTCAGTCACGAGGGCCAAAAGACATTTTAATTCAGAGACTCCACAATGCCACTGGAGTAGTTTGGCAATAAAAAGTTGTGGTTTTTTATTAATATCCACAGGAAATATAACAAGTGTGTATGGGTGGGTCACAGTCCCGGTATGGCACACCACAATACCATATCGCGATTAAACATGGAGGGGCGGATTGAGTGATATGCAACACAACACAGTATCGGCAGTTATCGGAATCACCTTTGACACTCCACGAGAAATCGCAGCAAGAAAAGGCGAAGGGCATCATTTGTCAAAAAAACAAAGAAAATACAAAACCAAAGAACGGCCATGGGAGGGTTATAAAAGAGCATCACCAGATCCATCACAGAAAAGGAGCGTTGGGGGGGAGGGGGGGGGGCGCAGCATGGCGTCGCTTTACACTTCTGACCACTTCTCACAGGGCACAGCGCCACTTGCTGTCCACAGTCGGTATCGCCACTTTCACCCGCCTTCCTGGGAACCCAGGACCGCCATCCGGGTCCCTGCAGATGTGGGAGGGGCGAGTTTAGGGTCAGCTGACCCACTGACATTCCCACCCCACCCGTGTGACTGGGAGGACTGGCAGTGTATTGGCTGAGTGGGGCTCAGTCTGTTGAGATGGGGCTTTGGCAAGGGGGAGGGTTGATTTGGGCGGAAGGGGGGTGTCTGCGGGCGTGGCACGGGGCAGATGGAGGCGGCAGGCTAGACGGAGCTGAGCTTCACCAGCCCCCGGACGGAGTCCTCGTGCAGGGAGTCCTGGCTGGCGGGGTTGTAGAAGGGCATGGTGTGGCTGTGACCCAGCGGGCTGCCGCAGGGCAGCATGCCAGGGGGCGACGGTGCTTCCTCAGGGGTCAGGAAGTGGTGGTGGGCCTCGGGCACGTGGTCGCCACGCAGGGGGTGCATGTCTGTGTCACAGCTCAGGCTGGGCGTGGAGGTCGGGGGTGTGGGCTGGGCCAAGGGCAGCGCGGCACATGCCGTGCCCAGCGAGGTCCGGCCCGGCAGCGAGGGCTCGTCGCCCATGACGACGGGATCGCTCTGCAGCAAGGGCGTGGCAGCGGCCTGCAAAACGAATTTGGTGCTCTGAATGCACTGGTCTTGGTCACACTGAAGGCGGGGGTGGGGCAGCGGGGGGGATGCATGATGGGGTTAGGGTATGCAAGACAAGGACGGGGGTAAGAAGAACCAGGGGCAGAGAAGGGGGCGGGAGGGGGGGCAAATGAAGGAAGAGAAAGGAGAAAAGTGGTTAGTAACCAGTTAAAATGCCAACAGCCAAAAACATTCAACCAAGTAGAGTCATCTGGCACAAATCAGCCAGTCAGCAAGACAGAATCTTCCCATTAAAGGATGTTACTCGATTACACAAGGCCTGTCTAGAAAACAGCAATGGAATCCCACATTTCAAAATACAAAAACTTTATTCAAACTCCAAAAATCACACATTGCTACAATTAAAACGAATCAACCATAAGGGAAGACGGGAGGAAAGAAAGAAAACCGGAAGTTTGACGGGACTTCAGCAGGCCGACATGAGGATGAGCGAGTTGGCCAGGAGAGGCTGGAGTGTCAATTACTCATCGTGCCACTAGGGGGCAGACAAGAGCAGGAGTGATGAAGAACACCCGTGCGCACGGCAGCAGCGTCCACGGCGGTGTGACTGCACGCTTACTCATCCGCCAGCTCGCACGTCTGTCCAGCTCAATTGTCAGCTACCCCCTCAGACTTGGCCAATGAAAGCTGGCATGGCTGGTAACCACGGCGACCTTGGAAGGCAGCGTACGACTGCACGGAACTATTGCGCGTGAATGAAATACGCCGCAGCACGGCAGCGCAGGGGCTGCTGCCAGGTCTCTGAACAAAGGCGATCTTCAGGACCGTGTAAGGACATGGTGGCGGAGTTAACGAGGCAAACGCAATTCAATTAGCCCCCGTGGGTCGAGACGCTGTCAGTGACGGTCCTCTGTGGCCCTCGAACAGACGCGTGCGGAACATTCAGAGCCTCATCTGAGCCCCGAGCTTCTCCTGCCCCTGATAAATCCGAGCGAGCTTTGAGGGATCATAACACACATAAGCCACCGTAAGCTGCCAAGACAGGGTGTTATTCTTAAAGAGGGTGCCAGTGGCCTTTTGGGGGGGGGGGGGTCAATAGGCATGCATCTTTTACTCAGAGCTTACTGTGGCTGAAGGTCATGGTGCCCAGCAATGGGAATGCACTACTGTCACCATTATTTACTGTAACCACGCCCCCACCCACAGAAAGGTGTCACGCTTCCCTTAGTTACGTATCACACCGACGAATCAGAGCCACGGTCATGTGGAAGCGGTTGCCATGGCGAGTGGACTAGGGGAATGCAGCGTGCAGAACATTGTGAAAACGTTTTAAATGAGTGACAAATAAAACCCCCCCCCACCAATGTGACATAATACCTGGTTCAGCCTTGGGACTAGGGCTGGGTACGGACCACAATGCTCCAATACTATCGAGGACCGAAAAATTAATTATGTTTCGGAGCCAAATTCCAATATCCAAATGGTAAATCTTAGCATCTGTGAGCTAATAAGCACACATAAGGAGATTGGCTGTCTAACGTAACGTTACACGAACATGTCATAGAGGCCAGAAGGAAAACGTGTGCCCAGAGACAATCCATTGCACTGGCTTGTGTGTGTGTGTGTGTGTGTGTGTGTGTGTGTGTGTGTCACGTGGTGTAGAAAAAAATCAAAATCAAAAAGTGTGGTTCCACAGGGTTTCAGGCTGCGACCATTTTTGGAGACAGTGCGACAATTTTATAACCAGGCGCACCAGGGCGGCTTGCAAATATGCCCCCCCCAATATAGCGGCTGACCACATTGTCATGTATCACGTGAAAAACCCAGAGAGAATGAGAACTGGTGTGTATGTGTATGCATGTGTGTGTGTGTGAGCGAGACCATCGGGACTCTGATTCAGTGCCTCGGAGGCACAACTGAGGTGCTGCTTGCAGTGATAAACTTGCTGCTTGCAGTGATAAACTTGCTGCTTGCAGTGATAAACTTGCTGCTTGCTTGACCACAAGCACGAACATGGAAGCTACGCAGAAGAGCAGAAAATGGAGAGCAGATGGTATTATTTTTGTAAATATTCAATAACACTGAATAGCTTTTGCCCGCGTCTCCCGTCGGTGCCGGCGGTGAAACGTGCCAGATCTTATTAGCGGGACAACGATACATCGTTTTTTTTATTCTGGGGAAAATGAAAGATCGATCTGCTGGCCAGACTTATTTATGAAGTATAAGCATGTCACAGGTTTTACAGTAAGTAAAATCAGGGCTGACACGCATTTCAAATCAGTTCACGCGCCACACCTCACGTTCCTCACGCTGAGTAGTGAGAGAGAACACCCTCCAAGGTGGCCCCTTACATAGAATTAATGGACGACGCACCGGCAGACGGAGGAGTTCATAGCTGACCGAGTTAAACGGGGTTAATAGCCACCTACCAGCCAAACAGAAAGTAACATTTGTTGCATGTGATCCCAAGGTGACAGTGCCTTTCGACCAGTTTCAGACACTGTCCCCCTCTCCCTTTCTCTCCATCCCTCCCTCTCCTCCTTTTTCTGCCCCTTACCCCCTTTCCATCCCTCTACCTGCATTCCACTCTCCCCCTCATGCCTTCTTTCCTCCCCCTGGGCAGGGAACGGTGTCACAGTGGTACAGCAGAGCGCCACACGTCTTCGCCCACCTACATCGCTCTCCATCGGGGCACAAACGCAGCGGATATGCGAATAACCCGGCCGACCTTGAGCAGACACGCCCCTTCACTTATGGCTGGCTTATCTAGATATGCGTGACCATGCGAGTCCGACGGGTTTGTTTATTTTTGGGGATAGGCTGCACAGGGGCGTCGGTGAAGGGCAACAGTGAAGGGCAACGGTAAGTGAAGCTTTTAGCATAAGGATTCCAGGTTAAGTGGGCATGCAGTCTCAACGCAGGCCAATTACAGCACAGGCAACGGACACACAAATGGGGGTGGGGGGGGTCAAAAGAAGAAATGCCACTGGGCATCTTGGGGGTTGAGGCGGCCCAAGTGTCGGTACGCTGGTCCACAGCAGGAGGGAGGAGCATAACTCACCATATGGCTCTGCGACTGCGTGGCCCCGTACATGGTGATCCCATTGGTCGGAGGGGTGGGCTGGGGCGTGTCTGGCTGGACGAAGCCCCTCCTGTTGATTAGGCTGGGGAAACAGAGGGGACCGAGGTCACAGCCATTAGAACTACAAGCTCAGGCATCTAAAAAAAAAAAAAACGGCCAATCACGGCCCAAGACATCCACCTGTAGTGCCTGTGTGTGGTTCAGGTATACATTGCTAAGCAGGGGCCTCGTTTTACAAACTGGAGTGAGATCATGCATACCAGCATCATACGACCCACCTCCGCGTGTTAATGATCATTAATGACCCTTTAAGTCCCACAGCGCTCCCAGTGCTCCCAGTGTTCCCACGGTGAGGCGCTTGAGAAAACGGCCAGAAACAGGGGCACTTGTTCGGCTACCTGAGCGCTGTGAGTATAGTTTTACTCCCAGAGGAGGGTCACCTGATAGTCTCTCAGGACAGCCAAACTGCACAGGCAGACAGCATGTAAACACCAGGCACGTTCGGCCTTTTTCAAGGAAAAGGTGAGAAATGACCTGGGGGTTGATGTCGTCAGCGACACCGAATCTCTCTGTCTGTGTAGCGTTAAGTGCTTCACATGCTCACTTAAGGGACTTATGCGATGATTCTCCACGAAGGTTCAGTCTACAGGGGCACTGTAAGGCTGTTTGGGCTCCTCTCGATTTAGAAAACAAACCTCCACCCATCCCCACCCGCTATTGGTCAGGCACCCCACTTAATTGGCTCACTAAAAACATGCTGAGCCATTAACGATGCTGATTGGTCAAGCTCAGTTCCCACAGCATCAGTAAACTGACAGGTCAGCACTCCAGTGACCTGTATGTGAACTCGTCTGTACAGTACATGTCGACACTGGAGGGGAAGAACGGCCCATTGGCGCCTCCTACAGGTCACCCAGCTGCGAGAATTACCTGGGCGGCAGTGGCCCACAAAGAGCAGCGCAGCAGTTACTGAAGATGTTTCCGTAGCTGTAAGGATTATAGTTGTCCTTGCCCCGTTTCGATGACCATGATCCCTTAATCTGGGAGGGGGGTTAGGAGAGAGAAAAATCAATTGAAAGAACATTTAGGCTACATAGAAATTCAGTTTGTGGGATAATACAGAAGGAATACTTATTTTCAGTCACACTAATATTAGTCACAGAAAGCACTAATTTAAAAAAAAAAAAAAAAGGTCATATGTAATTACAATACAGCTGAATAAAAAACTTTGAGCCTTGTGGGTACCTTATTAACCCTGTAATTACAGATGTACATTACAGATTAACACAGCCCTCGCTGTGACAGTAACCCGTAATTTGAACAGAGAACACCGGGTGACACTCACGTCTTCGTTGGTGGTCTGATTGGAGCTTATCAGGTAGGTGTGGAATCCAGACAGGCCCACGATGGACCACACGGAGAAGAAGCAGACCACCACCTCCAACACGGTGCCGCAGAGTCAAGGACGCGTCAACAGGGAAGGCAGGGAGGAACAGACGCGCAAACTGGGAGAGATTCCAAAATACTGGGAGCAGAAGACACCCACCCAAACAGACATACAAACGCAGACAGACAGACATACGCAGACAGACATACAAACGCAGACAGACAGACGCAGCTGCTACCCTGCATGCCTAGTCACCTGCTGTCACCTCATAAAGGCACCAGACAGACATCATATCTACAGATGTGACGCTTCTATGATAGTCAACAAAACTGGCTCTTGTCGAGCGAAGACGGCAGCAGGAGGGTGGGATCACATGGTTGTCTAACAGCATCATTTGGGGGGGAGGGTAATTTTCTGTTGAGGAGGGCTCCTATTCATATCCTTAAGAACATCGGCAGGGGCTGCACAGGAAATTGCCGGAACATCTAATTTCGGAACGTTTCTTGGGTAGTCAATCTCAACCCCCCCCCCCCCACACAACGTAAAAAAAATGACAAAAAAGAAACGGGAAACAAAAAAA